ACCTGCTGGCCACACTCCTCTTAATGCACCCCAGGATGCCATTGGCCTTCTTGGCAACAAGGGCACACTGCTGGCTCATGGTCAGCTTGTCGTCCACCAGGACTCCCAGGTCCCTCTCAGCAGAGCTGAAAATCTGATCTGCAAGTCTGTTCTCCCTTGTCCCTGAGAGTGGTTTCCCAGGGGATCCTATTGACTAACTCCTTGAACAGCTGGAATTTTTCTCTCCTGAAATTCAGGGTCCTGACTTTACTCTTCTCCTGATCCATATCCCTCAGGACTGTGAACTCCAGCAGTGCACAATCACTGTAGCCCAGGTTGCCTCCAATCTTGTCATCGCAGATTAGCTCACTTGTGTTGAAGAACATCAGGTCCAGTATCGCATCCCCTCTGGTAGGGCTGTCTATTACTTGGCTTATAAGGCTATCCTCCATGCACTCCAGAAGTCTCCTGGATTGCCTGCAGCTCATCATGCTACTTTTCCAGCAGATATTGGGGTGGTTGAAGTCCCCCAGCAGGACAAGAGCCTGCAAGCACTATGCCTTCTGCAGCTGGAGTAAGAAAGCTTTGTCAGTAGGCTTCCCTTGATTGGGCGGCCTGTAGTAAACACCAGCCACAAAGTTCCCTTTGTTTCCTTGGTTTCTAATTCTTACCTGCAAGCTTTCAACTCACTCGTGGCTGTTCTTCAGAGACAGATCTTCACAATCTATCCATTTCTTGACATAGAGGGCAAACCCCCTGTCCCTTCTGAACAGCCTGTAACCTTTGATAGCTGCACTCCAGTCACTGGATTTGTCCAACCAAGTTTCAGTAATGGCAATTAGTTCATAGACTTCTAGCAGCACTGTGGCTTCCAACTCCTCCTGTTTACCCATGCTGCGTGCATTGATGTAGAGGCACTTCAGCTAGGCTGTTGGCTATGCCACTTTCTTAGAGGAACACACCTTAATTCCTTTGAAATACTTCACCAGTGTTTCCCTGTTGGGAGGAACTTCAGGAGCCCCTGGCTCATTTCCATAAGACTTCAAGTGTGCTTCAGTGTACCTGCCATATGTCAAAGCACCAGGACGAGGGCCCCCACAAGCACCCCATCTAACCTTGATGTGTTGTCCCACAGTCCAATGTTTTTTTAAGTCACCTTATTTTAAAGAACCCTAAAGGCCTCTTCTAGGGCCGTGCAGTCAGTTTTGGAATACCCAGGTGCTTGATACCCATGTTCGTGAGGAAAGATTAGAGGCATGATCTGTGCTTAGAATTTTCTGTAGGCTAACTTGATTCAGTAGATGGATTTTTTTTATTTTTTTTTTGTAATTGCCATTCTGGGCAACCTACTGTCCTTCAGCTCCCCTACCCCACACATTCATGTGTAGCAGCCAAAAGGGATTTTAAGAGGTTGAATGATCTTAGATGCATCTAATGTTTTTCTGCAGCAGTATAACATATTATGAGTAAGGAAGAAACAGCAGATGTCCTGACTTCAGCAGAGTTTCTCACTGATGACAAGGAGAAGCATTCAGGATCTAAATAAAATTACTGTATGGTGGGCACCCTTGCGTGAGGGTAGGTTAATGTGGGGATGGCAGTTGAGCTGTGTTCCCGAATGGTCTAAGATGAACTATATCTTGGGATAACAGAATATATTTGGTAACCTTCCATTTTTCTGTGATTTGGTACGCTGAATGAGACACAGTAGTGGCTACCTCTGGAAGTGGTTGAGTCCCCATCCCTGGCCATATTTAAAAGACGGGTAGATGAGGTGCTTAGGGACGTGGTTTAGTGGTGGAATGGCAGTGTTAGGTTAACGGTTGGACTTGATGTTTTTAAATGTCTTTTCCAACCTAGACGATTCTATGATTCTATTTTAGTTTCCATTTCAAGCGATATGTGCTTTAATGCCGAGTGTTGCAACATCTATCTTGGAGACATCTTCATTGGCCTATGATGCTTGTCCCATTTTTCCCAGGTTTGCTATGTATTAGGTAAATGCAGTGACTGGAGTATCTTTGTGTTCTTAGTTTCCCTGGACTAGTTCAGTTTGGCCTTTGCTAAAAGGAATTTGATAATTTACTGTTTAGAACTTCAAGAATACACATAGAAACTGACTTGTTAACGGATTTACAAGTATTTGGGGCTATAAAATATTCTGCCTAGTTGTAGTTTCATTCAAGAGAATATACAGAAAATTGTACATTAGCTGTTGTGATAGCTACTTTTATTTACTGCTCAGTTTGTAACTGACAAATTGCATGA